TAGCAACGCATTCTTCTTTGATGCTTTTGAATGGTCAATCCAAATTCAAGAGATTTGCCAGCTAGTGTTTCAGGTTTGCAAGAAAAAAGCTTAACAGCCGTGTTGAATGCAAAATTGTCATGACGTTCCTGCGATAGGCACCTAAAGATTTAGCTGCTTTTGATCTACCAAATCCTTCCAAGTGCTCTTGATTCTAAAACTCAGCGATCTTCCCGTTTCGCCTACATACTCCTCAGCACATGATTGCCATACGATAAAATACACCCCCGACTTTGAGCAATCACCTGGCCCTCCATGAGGGCACTGCGCGACTAAGCGTTGTGCAGATGATGTCGTATGCTTCACGGCAGACCAATTGTTTCTTGAGCTAGTATCTATGATTCTTGCATGTTCTTGCAGACCCGCATGACACAAACACCTGATATTCCTGCTCAAGGACTGCGATGAAAGACGTCGAAAATTTTAGTGGGGCGGTCTCCCTCTCGTATTGCGCGCCTATCCAGAGACGTAGCTAGCATGATCAACTAATAAAAGTACCCATTATTTTGAGCGATCTGCCTGGCCAGTCACAAAGATGTCTTGTGTTTTACACCAGAGGAGAGCGTCGCTGCTGTTCCATACTAACCAAACCAGTTTTTCGCTATAAATTTGATATTAAACGGTTGGGTATTAAGAAGATTAAAGCATGTATCAATTCCTTTTAAATGGAACACTCTTCGCAGCAGTCGTTTCGTAAGTCTTCTTCGTAATATTCAATCTTCTATGTAGACAATACAGGAGAGGTTCTCGCGTAACACTTTCCACCCTAGACATGAAATTGCTACTGTGGGTGCCAGTCTTTGCCCCTTGGCTAATCCCCTTGGCTGTAGTATGGCCAGATCAGCGAAGTCTAGAATAGCCTAAGCATTCAACCAGCAGTGTCATTAGCTGCCTGATGCTAAAATCATGCATGTTAAGCAAACCGCAATATTCCAAAAGAAGCTCATTGCTTGCACTGCATCTGCAAACATTGGTGC